ACCATTATAACTGGTTCCTGCTATCGCTATGAATTTCTTTGATAAGAGCAGGAACTCTGTAATTGATTTGTTGTTTGACAGCATTTCTTTCTTGGATTTGTTGACAGAAAAAATTGTTTCTCTGATTTAGTGTTCAACAGCAGCAACTTTTTTTCTGATTCGTTGTTTGGCATAAATTCTTTTTCAGTTTCTCAAACTTTATTTTCAACTGTGTCTATTCTGCCTTCCATAGCCTCAAATTTATTTTCCGGGGGTAATTTTTTTCTTTTCATTTCCTCTTGATCGGCTTCAAACTTTTTTTTTTTTTTTGAAATGATTTGACAGCCCCTTTCATCTTTTTCATAACAAATTCTTGGCCGGTTTTTATATCTTCTTTAATGGACTTGACCCCCTTCCATCTTTTCTTGCTTCACCTTTCATCTCTTCCTGGACTGCTTACATCTTTTTTTGAACTACTTTGATCTCTTCTTTCACAGTGTTGATGGAACTTTCCAACTTTTTTTGGAATGCAGCAATGGTATTCCATTTTTCCTCTTGCTCTGGGCACCAGCATTCAACCTCACTTCTGATGCCAAAACCTGTTGTATATGTACAGGTTTGTAACGGATTGAATCCACACAAAATTAATGATAGCTTGATAAAATATATTTACCCAAAAGAAACACTTTACAGTTCTGGAACACAAACAAACTGTAATTGAGAGCAAAAGCACTCGTAGTGCTCTTCTCAGTATCCCAGAGCACACTTAAAACTTCAGACTACTAAGAACATTAAACACAACACAATGCAAAGCGCATCTAAAAGCTGGAACTCTCATGGATATCTCAATACCCCAAAGTCACCTGTGAACTAATAACTGAACACTGATGCCGTCTTCAGGCTTTCCCCACAGCCATCAAGAAATCTCTAATACCTTCCATTTCTCGAGATTACTGTACGGCATACAATGTCTCACAAAATTATTGCCCACTGTAATTTTTCCCTCCTTTTTTAAGTATAGGAGAAAAGCTTTGAAATAAAATAATAAACAGGCTGGCCACTAAAACAGAAGAATGAAATTCCCTAACTTTTCTAGGTGTGTTTCAAGAAAATTCCAGGCTATCCACATAGTGCACGTCAGTTGTGCTGAGGATAAATTAATTATAGCACCACTTAAAAACACACAAATTAGCCAAATACGTACAACATATATGTGTTTATATATAATTCCCAAAGCATTGTGATTATAACTGTAATAGGAGTTGTTTTCTCCACTGAGGATTGATATTAGAATCTGCCCAAAACAGGATTAAAAAACGTCTTTTCTGAAGACATTTTGCAGCTAAAGGAAGAAAGACATCTATTTAATGATATTTTAAAATACAATCAAGTATTTTACATTTATTTAGCAGCATACATAAGTAAAAAATAGGTACTCTAAATTTCGTGATGGTATGTCATCATACTGCTAGAATTAATTTCACAAGTATGCCAAAGACAACTGCCTGAAATTTAAAAGTATTAACTAATAATAAATAAATTTAGAAGAAAGAAGCTGCATTAAATGATACTAATAACATCAAAATAAATTACTTAAAGACTAAAAACTAAATCACAAAAATGGTATTTTGCAAATATTAGCCATTACATTAAATGATTAGCCCAGATAACTGATTATTATTTTTATTTAAGTACCTGCAAAATGACAAATAAGGCATATAAGAAAGAAGAAAAGGTTTAAAAGATTTGGCTTTATACAAGAATGAGAAGGTATTTTCTTTCATTTAACATGCACTGCACATGTGTTTACAAATCCCTGGATTATCAAGGTTATTGGAGAGTAAAAGATGCTGGAAACAAACTTTGCCTTTCTAAAAGATAATTTGAATGGCTCTGCCAAAATTTGCTTTACGCCAGCTGTACTAATAACGCTCATGCGATACATAATCCGCTAAGAAAGTGATCTCCAACGCTGGCGTGAAGCTTTTTGGGGGATTGTTGTATGAAATTTCCAGACTTTTCCAGATTTTGATTAAAATATTTAAATTCCCTGACTTTTTTTCATGAATTTTCAAATTCCCTGACTTTTCCCGGCTTTCCAGGTAATGTGGCAACCCTGAATAAAGAATATTTTCCCTAAATAAATTTGACAAAATTAAATAGTACATTAAAAAAAAACATTGCTTTAGGCTGAAATGGGGAAAAGGATACCATAAAATTAATCAGACATTTCCATAATTTCTAATTAAAGTCGTCTGCAATAAATAAGAATGCAATTTTATGGAATTAGTTTGGATACATAAGCTAAGTAAAAAATTTGCTTTTATAATTAGAATGTTCTTTTTGGAAAATATCCATTATATTAACGTTTTCATGGAATGGCTCGATCCAAAGTAAACATCGTTAGAAACCCACAGATGAAGTACTGATTTGCATCAAAAGAAAGGAAAACTCATTAGGAAAAAAAAAAGGGCCTATTTACTTAAGTTATTCTACAGTTTTTAATATTATTAGCATTACAAGAAACAGAAGCATATTCAAAATAAAAGAAGACCTGGAAAACTATCTACGCTATCTGCTAGAATAAAATGCTTTATTCTAAGGAAGATTATTAAAAAGAATCCAAGACGGAGTACTCCTAAACTTGTTGCAGAACTTTGTGAATTATATGGAATATGTGTAAATACAGAAACTGCAAGAAGAGTAATATGATCTGCAGGATATCATGGGTGAGTAGCAAGAAAAAAAATTGTTATGTCAGGGAGGAGGGGAAAAAAAAAAAAAAAAAAAAAAAAAAAAAAAAAAAAAAAAAAAAAAAAAAAAAAAAACCACCTTTGACTCTCTCTTGCAAAACTGATGAAACAAAAGACACCAGACTACTGGCAAAATGTGTTGTTTGAGGAAAGCAAATACAACAGCTTCGGCTCAAATGGACAAGTGCTGGTGTGGAGAAATCCCAAAGAAGGATTTCGGATGAAAAACTTAGTACCAAGTGTAGAGGAGTCATGGTATGGGGATCTATGGCATATTCCAGTATAGGTAATTTAGAGATTATAGATGGTATTATGAATCAATATAAGTACCCTGACATCTTGAAGCAAAATTCGGCATCATCAGCATAAAATAATCAAAATAAAAGCCTTTCTTTTTGTTTAAATTTATTTTAGTTTTCATGGTCATTAAAGAGTACAAAAATTCAAATTGTCAAATCATTTTTGTGAGCTACTGTATATGGTTAAAGCTATACACAAAGGCCGGATATAGTTAAAGTAACATATAGAATCTATTAGTTACACTACTAATTACAGTTATACAGGGACTGGACCAAATGTCGCCAATTTAGCAACTTTTGGCAATTTCTTACGAAATTTTGTGACAAAAATTGGTCGCCAAAACTATTACCAGGTTGGAATTACCTCACCAATTCAATGAGATAGCGATCTTTTTGTCGCGGAGCTTCGTTTTTCTTCAGACTTTTCATGTTACATTATACAAAAGATACTACAGTTTCACATATAAGTTCATTAAAATAATTTACACATATAGGAAATTTGTAACAATAATATACCAAAAAAACAGTTCGAAGAATCACACAGACTCACAGAGCTGTACGAATCTGTTACAGTGTTGTATAGGTTTACAAGGATAATATATTGAAAACTGAAAAGTAAGAATGTTGTTTTCAACTTCCAATTTTGTACGAGCTTAGTCCTCCTAAAAATTGATAGATGCATTCTGCATAATAATACAAATGGGAAAATTGTCGAGTTACATAACAGAAAATTATAATACATGCAATACAGTCAAAAGTCGTTAATCCGGACTCGTCGGGACTTCGGCGATTCCGGATTATAGATCATCAGTTTAAATCTCGTAAGATGGCATGCAGAAATTCTAAAATTAAAAATATGAAACCGTAATTTATGAAATAAAGAACAATTATGATCTCTAAAGGGTATCAAAATTTGCAAAAAAAGAAAAAGCTTAATATTTATTTGTATACTTTATTAAACATTTCTTTCAATGTAAGTTGTTTACGTTTTGCTTCGTTTCATGTGATAATACTTTCTCTTTAATTCTATTAAACAGACATATTTTCTTGTTCAGTTACAAAGTTCCGCTGTTCAAGTCCTATAATTGCTGTGTCGAGAACACCAACTAATTTGTCAATCGAAATTTTTTCGTTTTCACTAACCTCTGTCACTTTCTTCGCTATCGGAAGCGAATTATAATGACGAGGAACTTGTTTTAAATCATATGAAAGACGGAGAACATCAAGATGAAATACTAATTTGGTAAGGAATTATAAGCCAAATAAAATAAAAACATCTGCACTGAAGATAAGGATAGTGCTGACAGATCAACTTCCAATTCATTACGTGCCTGCTGCGGCGTTCCCCCCGCCGAGCAGCGTGAAATTGATAAACAGATTTCGGATTTCAAAACATACTTTCGTTTTAGATCCTTTACATATTAACAAATATATATCGGAAATTCTATTTGATATAATCGAAAGTTTAAGCTTACTTTTATAAAATTGCTCTTACAGTCTGCAAAAAATAATAAGCCGGATCCATTTCGAAAATTAAGGAACAACGCAATCATCAACATTAACTGAAATAGATAATTAGATAATTTTAGCTTATATGTCCATTATACATAAAACGCGCACGCGAAAACGTATTCTGCACTTGCACACACTCATATGCACAGTCGTAAAAGGTTTTACGTGCACGCGTAAACGCCTATGCGCATGTGTCAACGTGGCACATGCGCAGAAAGTTTTTAGTTTTGAGGTCCGGATTATAGATCATTCCGAATTATGGGTGTCCGAATTAACGACTTTTGACTGTAACATGCTTCACAACACATACATAATTTAAGGAAAAACCACAATACCTAAATTTAAACTAGAAGTGATCAGCAATGATATTAACAATGAAATTTAAGCATGAGGATATATTTCAAAATGCAAGCAAGTACTTAACTAATATGAAATAAACTAAGAGCTTTTCTGTTACCTTGAGCCGGAACATTAGGATGATTTAATAATGACATCATGATATTGTTTATAACTTGCTGTAACTGGTCTTCCTGGCGACCTGGCACATTGGGTGTCACACCAATTTGCTGGAAAAAGAAAAATATTTCAAAAATCATGATGGTCAACTGCATATATACATTTACAAAACAAAAGAAGTTCTTTTCATGAACACATCTCTTAATGCTTTTTCTGAATTTTTAAAGTTCATATTTTTTTATTACTCCCCATCCCGCCGCTAAATCATTTTCCACTTTTGGGGGGGGGGAAGATGGCATACTAGCCATTCAAATTGTACACCGATATAAGAAATTTAACACATTCATTCCATAAAAAATTTATTTAGAAGATAAATACAATAAAAAATAGTTATTTCCAGGGAACATGCAGAATCACACAATGCTTCGCGCATTTCTCAAAATCACCAACTTGAAAATAACAAGTCAAAGAATTGCACAAACTCGGTATCCATGTACACCCTTTAAAAAAAAAAAAAAAAAAAAAAAAAAAAAAAAAAAAATCAGAGAATTGCACAAACTTGGCACTACACACTCCCTTGACTTTGTCCATGTACACATCGATATGAGCCACATAAGTGAGCAATTCTGCACTTTACCATTATTTCCTCCTTCATAAAGTATGTATTAATGCTTTCAAGCCCAACATTACAAGCAACTTGAAAATAAAACTATTAAACAAAACAATTTTTACAAAATTCGTTACTGGGAATATATACAAAAGCTTTGATTTCTTGCTTATATATTATATTATTAATGAAAATAATTTATTCAAATGAACAGAAAAAGGCAGGGGTAGGGGGGGGACAAGAAAATGAAATACACCACATTATTTCAATATAATTCTCACAATATAGCATAAAAAGACTAAAAAAAATCAATGTTTATGTTTCAAAAAGCGAAAGTGAAAAAATAAACACTGACCACAGATCCAAAAATGCACCTTAGACAGTCATCTGCCTTTATAAACATGGCTCATATAAAGCATAATAGTTCTCAAGTTTTTTTTAAACAAAATATGCAAAATTGCAGCCTCATCTTTAGAATAAAGATGAACAAAGAAACAAAAAAGAGGAGGAGTGGTACCTCTCCCTCTTTCATGACTCTTAATGCTTATTTTATTTTAATTTCATTTCACAAAAGCTACAATGGCACAGTTTTTTCTTGGAATTTACAAACTTTTCCAGTTCTTGTAACAATCAGTAGTTTAGATGTCTCTATATACCTCTACTTACCTTCTCAATAACCACTAGCTGGAATCTTTAAACTTAAAAATCTTTAAACATCTTTCACAGATGCACAGCCATAAAAGAAAAATCAGCTGTCAAAACTATGAAATCTCCAAAAAGTACTCTAACTACCACAAATACATTTCAGCATTTTTTATTAGCACGGTAGCAATCATAATTACACAATAGAGGGCAGATGTGGTAATTTATATATTTTATAAAATAGGTTGTTATGCCATAGCAGAAAATTTCCCATTTCTTTGATATGGTTTAATTCATTGAGGTAATTGGTTACTAGTTCTTTTTGGTTAGTATCAACCTATTTTATTTGTTTATTCATTGAAGATTAATTATTTCTTGATTGGAGAAAATAACTATTTTTGAGGAATGGATTACATACACACTAAGTGTGCTAAAATTAATGTTTGCCAGGCACAGCTTTACTGTTACCTAAATTTGCTAGTCAAGTGGCACCACTTGCACAAAAATATGCATATATTTTCTGCAATGCTAAACAAAATCTAAAGGTTTGTGCCTTCTATGTAATCCAGTTTAGAGTGTCCTTCACAAAGGCTTCTCCCTCCTTACGCAAACCGCTTTTATGTGCTTTGCCATAGTCAAATAAACCAAACGAACCTATGTAAATCCAATACCCTTTCCATCAAGCCATCTTTATAAATTGCCAGGTTTGCCATTCTTACTCCAGTTAAATTTCTAGCCAACATTCACATCTGGTAACATGTTGCTCAAAAAGTATCTCAGCACTACTTATGACCAGTTGTATTACTTTTAATCCTTTATACTTGATAAAGCCAACATTCACATCTGGTAACATGTTGCTCAAAAAGTATCTCAGCACTACTTATGACCAGTTGTATTACTTTTAATCCTTTATACTTGATAAGTATTAAAGCATGTTGTTTAATCAACTTGGCAATCATAAAGTTGCTATAAAACTTATCAAAATTCATAAATAAAAGAATTAATAATTTATATAGCAATATAAAAATGCAGTACACTATAAAATAAATAGAAGAATTAATAAGTTATGCAAAAAATTAGCAAATTCTTATCTCTCCATTCACTACTACAGTTATTGTGTATTCTTATTACTATTAAAAAATATCCATCCCTATCCAGAACTCACAGTCTGAATGGCCAAGAATGTTTCTCATGCCATGTCTATGGCAGAAGAGCCATGATTTTCAAATCAAAGAGTAAAATAAACTTGAAAATGGTTTGAGTCCCATTCAATTGAAAAGTGTCATTCGATGCTAATCTTCACGCTCATTTCATGCTAACTATTATGCTTTTTACTCATGCTCTTGAAAAAGTGAGCACAAGGAATGAAGAAATCAAATAATGAGATAAAAAAAAACTGCATTTAAATAGATGTCAGGATATTATTCATTTGTAAAATTAAAAAAATAAATAAATAAAATAAAAACCACCTTCCTAGTGTTAAAAATACGTCTTCAATATATATACATTAAAACAATAATAACTGGTTATTTTATATTTTTGAAACGAATAAAAACCAAGGTAAGTTGGAACTATTATTCTGCTTCTATTCCACAATGAATGTTTAAAAGAAATTAAAAATAACAGCTTTAGTCATAGTTACAAAAATATGTTATAGAGCCATTAATAACTAAATATACCAATTTTCAATTATTTATTGCAGTTTATGATAACTGAATGGAAAGCAAGATCCCGTTACGTCACTGAAGCATGTTAAGAGCCTATAAAGACAACATGAATGCTCAATAGAGATGTGCATTTGCTAAACTTATTAATATACAGCACAGGGACTGGATATGTGGCACAATTATCTGTACCCACTCACCTTATGTGCAAGATCCATACACAAAGTACACCAAATAGATATATGTGGTAGTTATAAAATCTCTATATTGACCAAAGATGGCCGAGGCATAGTGAAATGAAACCACTTCATTACAAACCTGGGGCCACAGACTTTCAACTGTCATCTGGAAGTGATGCTATTTGCACCACTCATTTAAATGTGTGTTTGCACGTGGATTCTATAGGCAAGCTGCAATATACAAACGAATGATTACAAAACTGAATAGAAGAGCTTCATGGACATAATGAATCACATTACATTTGACATTCTTGTGGAAAGAAAGGTTAGCAGAATGCATTGTTCGAAGTGTGAAACCTGATGATGGAGGAATTATGGTGTGTGTTTGGTTCCACTCAGACCACTAATTTATTTATTTTTTATTTGGTCTTGACCCACTGTTTTCCCCTTTTCTTGTGTATGCATGTCTTGAATCTTTGATGCTAAAACCTACAAGGCAATACTGTAAACTTTAATACTATTATCTGGTGGAAATGATTTAGCAATTATACTTTCATTTTAATATTACAATCCATTTGTACAAAGATGATTCCAAAATGGGGTGGTTTGAAGAAATGGGAGTAAATGAAATTGATTCAAAGTCCTGATTTTAACCTAATCAAGCATCTCTGGAATGCCAGAAAGACCAAACTGCCCCTATACCATGATAGAACTATTCTTTATGATGCAAGAAGACTGTAAGAAAACATTTGTAGACATCTGTCAAAATTTAGAGAAAAGTCTTCTTCAAATGACAGAATGTGTGATAATGAATGGCAAACATACATCAAAATGACACCACATAAGCTTCAGTTAAGCAATTTCCCAGGAAGTGTTTGATTATTCATAGTGAAAACAGTGTTTTACAATGAATCCATAGCCATATATAATTCAAATCTGCTTTCTCAAGAAATGTATAAATTGGAATGCAAGTTGTATAATACAAAGCATGATTTGAGGTACAAAAAATTAATTATCATAGCAAAGAATCCTATAGCTTTAGGATTCGTATTCAAAATAGGAAAATAGAAATTTCTTTTTTAGGGAAAATTCATAAAAGCTTTGAGCAATGTTTTTGTTTGCATGGGTGAAATATATACCAAAAAAGAGCCAATCTGCTGCTGTAAAGACTTGATAAAAATCACTTATCCACAACTAACTAAAGCTTAAAATTTATATACCCACCACAGCAGCTGGTGTCCTGGATCCTCCTGCATTATGACGTCTTCGCGATGGTTCCAAAGCCCAAACTGAATGACAAGGCAGTCCAGAATCAAAGGCATGCAAACTGCCCATTGATGTCAAAGGTACTGGAATTAAATTACGAAATGGAATATTTAGCATTGGATGTCCTTGCCCAGTAAATGTAGGGACAGAAACATTTGGCATTGGGCCTCTAGCTGTACTACTTGAACTTGGTTCATTTTGAGTTGAAGTAGAGTTATCTGGAAAATAATGGAATAAATACCAAATAACACAAATTAAACAGGACTACACTAGTTTACAAACAATGTTAAAATGGTACTTAAAAAAGTAGAAAATGTAACAGTACTAATGTACAGTGGCTTACTTTTAGTATTGCATACCAATTTTCCTCAAATGTGATTGCATTAATTAAAAACAATTTGACTGTTAGTTTTATAAATGATTTCTTTCTCTTTTAAATATTCTTAGAAGCGATGAAATTACAGGATAAATATGATAAAATAAGAAATTTTTAAAATTAAGGCAAAATATTTTCAGGTTAATCATGGAATTTAAAGTGGTGAATTTGCTACTTTATAAGTCACACTGTATTAACACTGTATTTGACTTACTAATCTATTTATGTCAAGTGCGTGTTTACTAACAGCAGTATGGAAGTACAAAACAGTGCTACATACTAGTGCATTGCAGTGAAACTCAAGCTCAAACAAACAAATTACTTGTTTGCTTAGAAAACTTGATAGAATTGCAACAATTAGTTTGAAATATATAAAGAGAGGTCCACAAAAATGTATTCATTGTTTGTTAGTCCATATTCATGACAAATCTGATTTGATGAGACAGATCTGCAAATAAGAGAGGGTTATGGTATGTGTTTGAAATGAAAATTAGCAGCTTCTATACAATGCCCATGCGTCCGAAGTACTGTTGTTAGTGTACCTGCTGTAGTTGCAGCAACTGACTCTTATGATTTTTACATGTTAATCGTTGTTTGTTGCTGGCTTTTGTTGATGCACAACATTCCCAGAGTCCCAATGTATCAAAATGAGACAGGTACTCAAACAGCACATCTTCGACCTACTTACTGTTCAGGTAGAGTTTGATCAAGGTACAACCTGACATGTGATAGTAGCGAAGCAAGGTTCCGTCCTCCAGCATTATCACTATACAGGCTTTGAATGGCAGGCAAAATCTTTGTCAAAAGCATATCAAGATACGCGTCACCAGTTGCCTTGAAGAAGAAGGGACCGATCAAACCAAGTAGTGGCAGACCACACTACACAACAAACATCAGTAGATTCAATGCCTTGCCTACATGAACATGAGGATTTTCAGAAGCTCAGCAGTTGCAGCTGTGCACATCACTAAGTTTGAATTCTACCTCATCAGTCCACACAAATTACCCTGTAAATTTCTCATCCTCACCAACCATGTGATGAAATCATTCACAGAACTCCGAGACTCAATCTCGATCGTCCTTATCCTATGATGTATGCTTTTTCTCTTCAGATTGTATCTTACACTTGATCAATTATCCTCACATTCACACACTCCCTGGTTCACAGATTTTTGTAGTGACCGGGCAAGTGTTGCAACATTGCCTGCCAGACTTGTAGCTGTTTGTCGTCAGCCAGATATTTTCTTGTGCACATCTTTAACAGTTCCACCAGTTTTGAATTTATTCTGAATGTGGGTAATTGTTCTGCATGTTGGGGTGGCCTTCCAGACTATTCTTACACTTTCAGCACAGCCTTATGTTCCACAAATGATAAGAAAGCCTGTTCCACAAATGATAAGAAAGCCCTATGTTCCACAAATGATTAGAAAGCCTTATGTTCCACAAATGATAAGAGAGCCTCAGCCACTGTTGTTACTCGACTGTCTTCTGCTGCACTGGCTATTATGACTGAATCATTCCACCACTAACTGCCTGCACATACATGGTATTAATTGCCAACTTTGCTTATCATGACAAATTTAATACTTTAATACATACAGTTTGCTTTATCATAAAGCAAGTAGCAAAAAATACTTTCATCTTCCTAAGATGGAAATTGCAAGAAAACAATAAAAAGAAGTTTGTTCCTAATTTCTATTTCATATCATGATTTATTTTGGTTTCAGACACACAAAATCTCAAATATTTTTTTAACCTATTAATAACTATGGGGAAGTTTAAACAGAATGTATATATGCAAGAGAAAGAACTTCAAGCATGGGCTAATATTATCATCATAAAGCCCTACACAAAATACATTATGTAAATAATAAACTCCTGTCAAAAATTATAGCTATTTATTTATAACAGCCTCAAGTTAACCAGTTAATTTGTAACAGTTTTAATGTCACTTAAATCACTCAGGGAGAGAAAAAAACATAGATAAGTTTTCGTGTTTCCAAGCTACTATTACTACAGAATGCATACCCGTTATATTTGCGAGAGGGAGAAAAAAAGAGGGCGAGGGTTTTGGGAAAAATACAGAAAAAAGCATAAAATGCTTTCTGCAGAGACTAAAACATAAAATGATTTCCAATTGAACAACTGAAATGCATCTGAATATTCTGAAACAATTACACTTGGAAAATGTGCATATTATGCATACCCTCCTCCCACCTCCCCCCCAATCTTATATTTTGAAGTAATTACTATAGCTTTTCCTTTAGCTAAACTAACTTGGAAACTGCGTTTTATAACATTTACAATCTTATTTAAATTTCAAAATCAAGATATCACAAACTGCCAGAATGAAAGGTAAAGTCCATTTCACAGATGGAACTAAAAAGAGCTTTAAAAAGAACTAAAAATAGTTTAAATTTCACAGATTTTAAAACATCACAGATGGAACTAAAAAGAGCTTAAAGATATTATATATTTTTTTATTTAATTTTAATGATAATGTCATCATATTTGTTAAGAAATTGTCATGCAATTCCTTTTCAAATCACATTATCAACATATTCTAAAAATCTGAAAAATCACCCAAATGATGATAAACCTCGTAATGCACAACAAAAGAAATCATGTCAAATTTAAATGCACACACAGTTAAAATACAGTCAAAACAAAGTAACGTGTTCTAGGATGACATGCTTAATCAATATTTATTATGCAAGGTTGCTTTACTTCTAAGGATGAATGTCCAGATGGTAGATTGAAAGAGTGTCTCTGTTGCAAAACAGTCTAGTGGCAAATTCAAGTGTTTTTCTGATTTTTTAGCTGCTTTTATATTGGTCTTAAAAGATTTTAATTCTGTCCTATTCTTAAAAAACTAAATAATAATGGATAAATTTAGTAATGCACCCACCATTTATTGATGTAAAATAGAATAAAATACAAATACAACCATTGGTTGATATTTGGTGCATAAAAATATTTTTAGATGTCTACGGTAAATTAAGACAGTTCAGGTGACATAAAACTGAAAAAAAGAAAAATTATACTGAAGAGGAGAATACAATTTGCACAACTTAAGTTTCATTAATCCAACAAATTTCATTTATTGCAAAGAAACATTTTCCTATTAAAGGCTAAAAATTAAACGACATTCAGTGTCTACAGGGAGATGGAATAAAAAACCAGCAATTAAGCATTAAAAAAGATACAAACTCTTTGACAACCAGTAGATTAACAAAAATAGTACAACTTTGGTTAGTTACTCCTAGGAACATTCAAACTCAATAACTGAATAATAATAATAATAATAAAATCATCAAATGCTGATATAAAAACAGCATTAAAATCATGGAAGTACTAGAAATCGCACCTAGACTATGCTGCAGCATTGACCCTCCTTTTCAATCTACCATAAATCTGAACATCAAGAAAAAGAAACGAACCCTACAAGAAACAGCAATAAATGGAGGGAAAATTGATCAAGCCATTCACTCCACTTCCAGCCTACGAACAGATCAGTGCACTTTTACAAATTTACTGACGATTCACCAAATTGGCATAATTTTTAGAACTTTTATGAAAAATTGTAAAATTTACAAAATACATACACATAAAATATATGTAAGACTGCAAAATAAGAACAGGTTTTGTAAAAATTACAAAAAGTATATATAAAAGTTGGCATATATGTGAATGTGAAATGGCAGTTCTCTAAAAGTTTATTTTCTAGCATCATTGCATTTAAAAATTTATAAAGAACTATATTATCAATATATAACAAATATTCTGACAGCACACTTTAGCTTCATACCATAAATAATCTTCTAACGCCTAACAAGAACCAAGATGACATTACACAGAGCATACTTTTTATGAACCTAAATACAAACAAGAGAAAAGAATCACCTCTATTAGAAGTAGCAGTAGGTTGTGATGTTCTGTTTGTTTCACTTCCACTAAGAGCTTCCATTGCTGAAATGCTGTCAATAGTAATTGTACCTGGTGAAACTTCCATGAAAACAAGTGGATTTTGATTCCTTAAAACACTAGATAAAGATGGACCAACAGAGCTAGAACTGGTTGCAGTAAGTGGAGTACTGACTGGAATCTGGTTAACTACTCGGGGAGCTGGCCTTGCCTAAAAATATATGTAAATCATAAAATGACAGAAAATCATGATAGAAAAAAGAGCTGCAAAAGCACAAACGAATTATTCGTTTGTGCTTTTGCAGCTGAGGATGGTGGTTCGGTAAAGCCATCGAAACTAGTCCTGTGAAAATTTGAAAATATAACGCTGATTTTTGTTGTTTGACTTCTGAAAGTGAGAGATGTTTTTTATAATCCAAAAAATACAGCAACATGCTCTTACAGCTAATACAAATTATACAATTTTCGATTAGTTACCTTTTGAATTTTGATGCTCTTTTAATGTTATACATATCATAGAAATATAGTGATGACTATAGAATAGAAGACTAAAAAAATTTGGTACTTCTTGATTATCCGCATCCATACCAAAAAATGATGAAAAAAGTATTCATGAGACAATGCTGTATATGCAAAATACTAATGCGGTAAATTAAATGTGAGCAAAAAGTATTTGTGTGGCCGAAATGTGGATGTACTGTATGTCTGTTTTGACACAGTCCAATGCTAAATTTGTACAAACTCTGATGCACTGCTTGCTATTAAAATTGCAACACCATGAAAGAAAGCAAATACAAAAAAGACATTTATTGCATGTAAACAGTATGTCATGAAGACAAAATGATTAAATTTGTAAGCATTTTGGAGGTTTAGAGAAGTGCGAAATTAGTAGAAACACATGCCGCCACTGGCATCTAAAACGGTCCTTACTCTATTAGGCATGGAGTCAAACTGGGCTGATGACAGAAATGAGCAACTTATTTCACGCTGTTTCCAAGTCTATGCCACATTTCACCAACTGTATAAGCTGGAAAGGGGTGGCGGGCCAGTCTCTCAACAACCCATGACCAGATGTTTTCAATGGGGATCATGGGGATTCAATGGGGATTCAATGATCTGGGGATCATGCACGGCAGGGCAGCAATCGAATACCCTGTGTATCAAGGAAGGTCAAAACGCTACGTGCAACATGTGATCTTGCATGGGAATATGGCATTTAGTAGGTCTCAAAAATAGGGCACAATCACTGGAAGTAGAAGGTCAGAAATGTACCCATTTGCATTCAAATTACCATCGATTCGAACTAGAGATGCGCATGCCGTATACCTAATGGCTGCCCAAACCATCACACCAGGTGCAAGGCCCCTATACCGATATCGAATGCAAGGAGGCAGTGTGTGGCCTCTTCGGAAACTCCAGATATGTACATGGCCATCAGAATATTGCATGAAGAACCAGGACTCATTTGAAAAGGTGACATTGTGCCACTCCTGTAACCAGCTTTGTCATTTGGCACACTAGAGTCGCCCTCTCTCATTCTCTCTTTCTATGCTGCATTGTCAAGAGAAGCCAAAGTAATGGTCGCCCAGCTTATAGTACACTCTACTTCAAACATCGACGCACCTTACAAGCTGATAGTGAGCATGCTGCAAAAAATGCCCATTTCCTGACTAATGGTCCGTGATGCGGTTGTATAGTTTTGTAAGGCTGACCTCAGAATATGTCTGTCCTCTCTGGTGTTAGTCATGTGAGGGTGTTGAGATCCTGCATGTCGTTAAGTATGACCCTCAAAAATACCTAAGGTCCATGGATTTCACATTCGCATGACAATGGTTGGATATCGACCAGTGTAACCGCTGATATCATGGAATGATAGGTATGATGCTGCCTCTATCAAACTTCGAAACTTGCTGGCAAGCATTTTCTCTTCTTATTCAAGGCATAACATGATATTCTGAGCAAACTCCAACCTTACAAAGCACTTCCCGAATGAGAAATCCACTACAAAATTTTTCTCTTATGCAGTACTTCAGATGTTATTTCTCCCTCCTGCATCGTCTAAATGCATTGAAATAATAATAATTTTCATACCCCAACTTATTCTTCTTTTCATGTGATTTTGACATTGGTCAGATCATTCTTTTCTGGTGTTGCAATTTTAATGGCCAGCAATGTATTTCTGGATAATTTTTAAGGTTTATTCTTAATAATAAATAAATAATATAAATCAGATACGGAATTTTGGTTATGTATCATCATGTTATTAATCTATTATAAATTTAAAATGGAAACACTGATATACTAGTTTCAATAATGGGCATTAAAACAATACAAAGTGAACGGGTTTATTTAAACGGCTATTTTTAGGTTCATTCTGTTCTATACCTTTCCCCCCCTCCCAGCTTTCACCAGAATACAATTTAGGTAAGCTATTATTATGAATCAGCTTACAGTAGCAACAGCGATTATTGTTTATCATTTTCATTTTTGTGTTAATTTAAGTTTCCAATTTAATTCTCTACAAGTAGTGACAAAGAATATACCTATAATTTTAATTTATTAACAGCTACAAGCACTAGAACAAGTTTTTATTTCCTCTGAGGTATTAACTAGCGGGAATAATTTAACCAATTTAAAAAAGGATATACAGACTTACAGAATTAACACAGTAATTTCACAAGAATACTACAATCTCATTATATGAACCTATTCGTAAAGGCAAACATTAAAAGTAACACCAACAAAATTTAATGATATTTTTTATTAAAAAAAATTAACTAGAGAGAGCATCTGCTGTCAGTCCAGCATGAGTTTGGAGTACTGATATATCTCCGGGGTTAGCTTTCCTCTTTAGATGCACTTTACATTGTGCTGTGTTTAATGTTTTTAGTGGTCTGAAGTGTAACTACTCATCATACTCTGTGATACTCATCATACTCTGTGATACAGAGTTGAATGACTATTTTTCTGGAAAGTTCCAGGACTATGAAGTGTTTCTTTGGTTAAATAAATTTTATAAAGCTATTATTGGTTCTGTGTGCATTCGATCTATTGCAAACCCATACGCACATAACACTACTTTGAAGTTACTAATACAGGATGTTAAATATGATTATGTCTCATTCTTGAATTTGTTTTATACTACCACATTACACAAGCAATTAATGCATGTCTAATCAGTAATAAAATGTACATTGGCGTAAGATAAACAGCATATTCAAAAATTCAGAACTCTTATGACTATAACTTGTTTCAGGGTTCGTACACATTTCTGCACACGGAAATTAAGTACTTTTAAGGACCATTAATGAAAAAAATTAAGGACCTATGAGCATATGGGAACTGATTAAATTCAAGTAAAAATATTATTCTATGCCTGAATTTCACTTTTCTAATACCATCCTAAAAATAAAATAGATCCATAAGTAGTATGCATTATTACCAAACGTAAATTAACATAATTATTAATAAGTTTGAGAATAAAATAAACTTCATGCAGTTTATCAAGTAGCATTTATAATAGGTTGGACATATTTGAAAGAAAATAAGTGACTTTTATGTTGATTTTTTTATGTCTTATTTTGTCACATACTTGGTCAGTCTAAAGCAGAGGTTCTCTACCGGTGGTACGAAAAAAAAAAAATAAAATAAAATAAATAAATAAATAAATAAATAAAATAAAATAAAATAAAATAGGTGGTACACAAAGAAGCAAAGTATTTTTAACTATTTATTTCAAAAATTAAAACCCCAACATCCTGATTGAGTTTTTTCTCTAACACTCGTAAATTGATGCGATCTGAGCTTTGTTCACGAGTGGTGGTGGTACTAAAGGTTTTCAATTTTTATTCAGATGGTACACATTAGTCAAAAGGTTGAGAACCGCTTGTCTAGAGGTTTAGTAAATAGCAGGTAGATTTTATGTCAAACAGGCATAGGTTAAAATGAGAAGTATCATAATCAGCATTATTCATAATAAAAGACTGATATCACCGCTGCTGCTTGTCTAGAGAGAGACCTGCTGATTAGAACAAACCTGAAAGGCATGATGTAGGCACGGTTGGCAAGTGTTAAAAGTTAGTCAGGCTCTGATGCAATTAGTGTCATAGCTTCGTGACGAGTTCCAGGGGTTGTAACCCAGTTAATATACTTTCAGGTTCTAATAAGCCATTAAAGCACCAGAGGTGATAAGCTGTTTTGTATTAAGTCTCACTAGATGCAAAGAATAAGCTTCAATTTCTACATTTTTGTGTTTTATCTTGTGACCACAGTGATTATTAATGATAGGTAATAACTCACTTTAAGATGTAGAGATAATTTTTAAGGGTAAGCACTTAGTTATAAATAATTAAATTAGGTAAATAGGTAACCTTAGTCATGGATTTACATGGCCAATATTAAATTTTATTTTTTTAACAATATTTGTTAAAAAAGCCCTATTAAAATCAAAATCTAGTAAAATTTCACAGTTGAAAATACATGTTATTTATGACACTGATTCTTAAACAATATTAGAATAATTACACATTAAAAGCTACAAAACATTTATGTTTTGTAACAACAACACTCAACAAAATATTTATCAGTCATTTTAATTTGAAGCCTTCGCAAACATTTTGGCTAGTTTATACCGATTTCCTTCTCTTATTTATTATTAGCATATTTTCCAACAATAATTAAAGATTTGTCTCAATATACAAACCAATGCTCTTGCTAGTTTCTGCATGCTTTATCTCCTAATTTGTCAACCTCTCCACAATGTACCTATGAGGGTTTACTTGATCTGGTAAAAGTTAAATAGTCCAAAACCCCCGATAGACGTGAAGCAAATTATCACTATGTCTGAAAGTAACTACAATATCGGACAAAGGTTTAAATAAGCCTCTTATTTGAAAAGAACTTAAAACAAACATAAATGCATGTTCTGATGCTAACAAAGTCAATTATATCTCACAGTGACGTAATTAAACAAGAACAGTCAAATTCAAACTAAAAAGGTGGACTAGTGGTCAAAAATTATACAATTTAATTTTAATTTAATCTGGCTGAGTAACTCTATCATATGAGGAAACAGAAATGGAAAATTATAGTAAAGGCTGAAATCATAAACAATTGCATAATTTACATAACTGCACATATCTTTGAAGAATAATTTTCATTATGTATTCAGTTTCTTTCTTCAGCATGTTTCTTTTTCATTTTAGAATTTTTGGATTTAATTATTTCTGTTTTTCTAAAATCACTAAATGCATTTAGAATGTATAGAAAAAGTTAATAAATTTAATTTCTTTAGTAATATGGAATTCAGAAGAAATACGAAATATATATATGGTAAAGGCCGGTTACAGAGCTGATGTGGCAGAATTTTTAGAATTTAGTGACACACCAAACAACAAAATCTAGAAATGGCAGAACTTTTACAATTTAGACAGGCATTGGAAGCAGAATTTAGAAAAGCACTGTGCAGCCGAATTTAGGATCCACAGAGATTGCATCAAATGTGAAAATGTGTATGATGCATTAAAACATATTAGATGGATCTTTGAAATTGTAAGTTTTCAATTTTTGTATTAATAAAAAAATCCCTTTCTATAATGCCTGCCCAAGTGATACGATTAGAAGCATTTTTGATATTTTCCATGCTTGTGTCTAGTGAAAAGTAGAGAAAATAAAGGGAAGATAAACATGTTAAGAAAAAGATTCTAGTATCAAGAATAAAACACTCAAATATTATTCATGTCTTCATTGTTCTTCCAGACGTTCTCCAAAAAATAAGAAATTTATCGCAAACGTTCTGTAAAATACATCCATTACGCGTTAATACCATGAAGACATTTTTCACTTTGTCACATATTTCTCGAATCTTCTAGAATCGTGGGTCTATAAATCTTGCCTTCAAATCCTTCTAAACTTTCCAAGCTGTAATGTCTGAAATCCTAAAGAAAAATTATCCCTACCAATTCTGTAACAACAAAAAGGCAGAAATATTTTGAAAACAAAAAAGGAGGGAAAAGTGTAAAATTAATTTTATAGAGAAACTCATGCATATTTGAGAATTTGAAATATCTGACTGAGACAATTACATGGGAAAAACTTCTTACTATGAAAAATATTACAAAGAACACATTTTTAATTAATTACATAGCTAATTTAGCTTTTGCTAAGAGCTGTTTTCATAAATTGTGCTTTATAGCAATTATATCCTTGTTTATTTTTCAGATTCAAAATACTGTATAATAAGTTGCCAAAATAAAACTTTATAATATGACAGCAGAAAATAAAATAGTTTTATTTTAATGTTATTTATCAAAGTTATGATGTTTTTAAAAAAAATCGTCGAAAAATTCTGATTTCAGAATTAAAAATTTTCTATAGAAACTGGTCTGAAAATCGCCAAAATGTTGACAAGTCACCAAATGTAGAACCGTTTAATAAAAGAATTCACATTCCCAAAAGCGAAAATTGTTTAAGAGCTCTTTATTACAATAAATGAATTTTGAAATGCTTATGTTTCATTTCTTGCTTAGAAACTCGAGAATCCCATAATTTATATTAAAAATAGAAACAAATTATAACCCATGAACCCATTCAAAAGATAACCATATACGTCAGTGAATCGCCAAAAATATTCCTCCAAAATGCTAATTCACACTCAAAATGGCAGTCATAAAAACAGACAGAAATTTCAGATGATTAAAATTAAGGACCTTCTACTGACTTTGGCCAAAATTAAGGACTTTTAAGGACCAAAAATCGATTCAAAAAAATTTAAGGACTTTTAAGGACTCCGTACGAACCCTGTTGTTTAAATTAATTTTAAAAGAAATGTTAAATTTTAATTAAAGTTATTATCATATGTTTTACAAAGAAAAGCCTTAAAAAGTTAATATCAAAACAATTCTAATACATTTCAATTTTCAGAACGTCCTCGGTAAGTCATGAAAACAGCCATTAAATGGCAATTTTAGATCATGATTGAAATTTTAAGTTTCACTTGATTACACAGATGTTATATGAAATATACTGGCATCTGCTAAAAATAAAAGTATTAAAAAATAAATTAAAAAAAACACTAACTTCTGTGGTTGAATTCTGTGTATTATCATTACTTGTATTATTTGCAGTAGTAGTAGTACTTTGATTTGGGGAAGAAACAGCATTACTTGATGTGCTGATGCTGATCTGAGCCTGAAATTAAATACAAAGAGGATATGGAATAATCAATATTAAAAACAAAACTTTTTTCATGTATATACTATTTAAAAAATATATATATGTATTCAAATTTTTTTAAATTTAATAGTGCATTTGTTAGTCTGTTAGTTCATTGAATCTAGTAAATAAAGCTATCATCATTATGAATCAACTATTATTTAATTGCTGAAAAATAAAGATCAAATTTTAACTATTCATAACAGCATTCATAATAACTATCCATAACTACTATATTACAGTCAATCAAAGTATGTAAGTTAGTATTAAAGCTGCTGTTCTTAATTGTGGCATACGTTCAAGTTAAATAAGATAACCATTAAATTTTACTTTTGCTTAAAAATATAGTTCAGTCTGGGAATAATATAGTTCAAAATATAGTTTTCGAACAGGCATTTAAAATTTCCTATTTCAAAATAAACTTCTTGATCTCAAAACAAAAATCAGCTAATTACTCAAATTAAGTCTTCTAAGGAAAAAAACTACACTCCAATAGAATATTTTCAGATGTGTACACACAAAATGCATACACATGGTTTTCTAAACTTAACATCCTGCAAATGATGTTATAAATCATCAAATGAGAAACTACAGCAAATTACAAAATTTTATACAAATGGTATTTTCTTTAATTTGTAAAACTTTTCACTCCCTTCACAACTTTTTTGAAAATTTTTCACAGATTTGAACTTTTTTTTTTTTTTTTTTGTTTTTTGGACACAGATTTTCACGAGTCCAACAAGACATTTTTAACATCAATCATCAATTTTAAAGGACCCGAGAAAAACTACGTTTTGCTTTTAAATAGATTCAACATATAATTTAATAAGATTTAATTTTATAATTAAGATACAATAACACACCAAACAAATATTAATTTGAAAGTCAAACAAGAAAAATCAGCATTATATTTTCACAGGACTAGTTTCGATGGTTTTACTGAACCACCATCCTCAGCTGCAAAAGCTCAAAATGCTGCGCTTTGAGGATGATGGTTCGGTAACACAATCAAAACTAGTCCTGTGAAAATTTTAAAATATAACGCTGATTTTTGTTGTTTGACTTCAAAATTCAATTTTATATAAAACTGAAAGAAATCTTTTCCTTCTATGATATTTCTTTCAGCAGGCATAATATGTACTCATATAGAGTTAAAAAGAAAAAGGAGAGGAAAATTATTATTAGCAATTTGTTTTACATTAAAAATCAGTAAAGCCTAATTCGAGCCACAAAGGCCACAGATTCTATTAATGACCTTTTTAATGTACAGGGTCCATTCACAAAGCTTCAGGATTGATTTTTTTCCCCAGAATAGAGCACATGCATACCCATTGCATGGACAGGGGAAGATAGTGGAGAGTATCACTTCTTCCCTGTACAGTGAGGTAGTGATACTCACAGAGGCAAATGACACTAGTCTTACTGTCATTTGCCCCTGACACATTGGAATAAGCAGATCACTAGCAGCGTGAGTGCAAAATGCAACATTATTCGGAGCAGCCTTATTTTGTAAAGTTCTGTGTGAAACTGAAGAAAAATGATTCGAAGGTTTTCATGTGACACAACAGGTTCAAAAATGGCTGCAAGACAATCACTGCACTAGGAGACCTTCAACACGCAAAACTGAGGAAAATCTGGTGAAAAGTGCATGAACTTTTAAACACAGTCTGTCATTTTAGTGTTAGATTGATTGCCAAAAAACTGCAATTGAGTCAGGCTACGATGTACATGTTAGTGACAGAAGACGCGAAAAGTCTGTGCCAAACTTGTTCCCAAGGTTCCGATGGATAAACAATAGGCATGGAACCTGGTTGTTTGCAAAGAAATGCTTCAACATTTGCAAGAGGATCCTCTCATAACTATATTGTTATTACCAAATTACTCACATGCTAATCTATACTATAGTCTACAATTCAGCTTCATCTGAATAACCCTTATATAAACTAGCCTCATAGAGTTAAGCATACAATGCAAATTAATGATTTTCAAAAGCATAGTTGATATTGAGAGGCTAAAAACTCATTGAAGATGCAAATGGCAGCACCCAAATATTGTACATTACAGCGAATCCCATCTGACTGTTCAAATCTATTTAGACAGTCACTGAAAACACCAGCATTTTGAAAAGTTTGAGGAGGTTCATTTAAATGCTGATAAAGTGTTTATAATATTTGTAGGATAATTTTATATGATATTCAGGTTTTCATCACTGCTACAAGATAAAGGTAGATAGTAAGCCAAGCACGCTGCCAGATGCATTGAAGCAGAACAGTCGATCAAATATATCCCTTTTTACTTTGGCATTGATCAATCATTAATTTCTTGAATGCAGAAACAATTCCAAAAAGACAAAACTGTTGTTCAGGGTTCTGTGCACAGTCAAGCAAGATGAACGCCTCTCTAAAGATTGGTACATTGCTGTAAGAGCAAAACAGACACTATAAGCGACCTCCACAACTAGTACATCATAGTTGCAGCATCACTGGCATTACCTGCCAGTATTGTTGTGTCGATAACTTCATATGAAAGGACTGTGTGCCCGTGACCATATATACAAATGTTTGTGTTTCACTAAGTACCCAATGCAGAGGAGCCAGATTTAAGTGTGTCAACAACATCTCAAGTGGACTGTCTCAGGTTGGTGCAATATCCTGTTCACAGATGAGTCCAAATCTGCTCTGGAATCAGATGGTTAGTACATAAAGATCTGGAGAAAATGAGGCACAAGAGATCAGCCCTGATCATCACTGAACATTACATATTCAGAGGTAGAAGCATCATGGTGTTAGCTAAATTTCAATGGGATATCATCTTTATAGATGATTCTGTGAAGGCTGCACAATATCAGGATGAGGTTCTACACCTCACTGTGTGAGAGTTTATGGTGCAGCAGTTAGACCTTATTTCTTTCTTATGCATGATAATGGCTATTTGTATCAAACCAACATCATTAACAAGTGCCTGGAAAGTGAGGGCTGATGTAGCTTAAAATCACTTTTGCATAGAATTCTATTCAATATTGAAAACAAAACAAAATAATACAGCTTCTTACCTGCCAGATAGGATCAATTCAATCCAAGCTATTTTATCTAATTTTATTTACAGCACAAACAATACAGAAGAAAGAAGAAATTCACACTTAAATATTTTACCGCTAAGCATTCTTCACAGTTTCCATAGCAATGAAATTAACTCAAAAGGAAGTCAGATGCACAGTGCCATCTGGCTTCTGTAATTATAGTTTCTACAAGGGCCTAACTTGTGTGAAATGATCACCATATTTTCCTAACCTTAATTTTTTTGAAAAATTTTAGATGCCCTAGGACACGTTTACCCCTTGCAGCCAGTCTGAGACACTTAGAAATTGCCATAATGGAAAATGGCCATTGCTAGCATCTAGGATGGTAAGATGGTTCATTACCTTAATGAAAGCATAAGCCATTACTGTAAAGTTTGCAAGATCTGGGGTGGTCAAATACCTTATTAATTTTGTTGTTGTTGTTGTTGTGTTTAGCATTAAATATCAAATTCTTAATGACTCAAATATGACATAAATTTATGAGAATTAACTATTGCTTCCTCTTTGCACTTCTTGTTTTCTTTCATGCCTCCTATTTCTTGCATTCATTTGCTACTTTTATGCACTCTCTGGTGTTAATCAAAGCCGTACTTTTCCATTTCTGTTAATATTACCATTATATGCTTAACTTTTGGAAGGCAGTGTGTAACATTCAATTCAGTCATTAATTTTTTCAGGGTTCGTACACATTTCTGCACATGGAAATTAAGTACTTTTAAGGACCATTAATGAAAAAATTAAGGACCTATGAGCAAATAGCAAATTAATAAGTTGAATTAAAAATACTATCTATGCCTGAACTTCACTTTTGTAATACCATCCAAAAAATAAAATAGATCCCTACGTAGGATGCATTATTATTAAACATAACTTAATTAACATAATTATTAGTAAGTTTGAGTATAAAATATACTTTATGAAATTTATCAAACAGCATTAAATGTTTTACACTTATAATAGTTCAGCATATTTGAAAGAAGATAAGTGACATTTTATTTATGTTTTACTAATAGTTATGTTTAGTTATGTTTCATGTTGGATTTTTTTTTTTAATGTCTCATTACTTGCTCAATCTAGAGGTTTAGTGAATAGCCAGGTAGATTTTATGTCAAGCGTCATAGGTTAAAATGAGAAGTAAAATCATAATAAGAATGATTTATAACAAAAGACTGGCTGTTGTCACCGCTGGTCCTTGCCTAAAGACAAACCTGTAGACCAGAACAAAACAGAAAGGCCTAATGTGGGAACGGTTAGCTGGTTTTTAAAGTTAGTTGGGCTCTGTCTGTTGGAGTTAGTGTCGTAGCTCCGTGTAGAGTTCCAAGGATTAAAACCTAGTTAATATACTTTAAGGTGCCGTAGCTCCGTGTAGAGTTCCAGGGATGTAATTCAGTTAATATACTTTAAGGTTCCAATAAGCCACTAAAGCACCAGAGGTAACACTAAGCTGCTTTGTATTATTTTAGGTCTCACTAGATACAAAGAATAAGTTTTACATGAATTTTTACATTTTTGTATTTTACCTTGTACCACGCTAAGAAATAATGAAAGTCAATAACTCACTTTAATATGCACAGATAATTTTTAAGGGTAAGCAGTTAGTTATAAATTAAATTAGATAGTTAGATAACCTTAATCATTATGGATTTACATGATCACTATTAAATTTTACCTATTTTTTAACAATACTGTTAAAAGTACCTATTAAAATCACAATCTAATAAAATTTCACACTTTAAAATAAATGCAATTTATGTCATTGATTCTTCAACGATATTAGGATAATTATACATTAAGAGCTACAAAACATTTATGTTTTATAGCAACAACACTCAACAAAATATTTATGCTTCTTTTTAATTTGAAGCCTGGCCTGACATTTTGGCTAATTTATATAGAT